AAAAACTAGCCCCCGCTAAAACACAGATGGTTTATTATTATCTCTTAGAATTCCTCAGATCACACATTGTTGATATAGCCCAGATAAGACAATGCTATGCATTTTTTTTCAGAAAAATCTCTCTTCTCAACTGTTCTCAGCGATGCACAATATAGCTGCAATTATCTCATTGGAAAAAGATGGTGTAAGTTTTCTCTTTCCCTCACAACAAAAAGAATGTCATTTTTCTTACACCATCGAAATATGTGAATAAAAGAAATTGCACAGTAGATCTTGAGCCATTCCTTGCTAGAAGTTAGCACACAACTGCTACCATTTGGTCAAGCACAATTCACTTCAAACAACAGAATGAAATAGAACTCAGATACTATTAAGAAACATACATGCCACTTTTCGATATTAATTTGAAGCATAGTTCACAAACTAAAAATAGCAAAGTAATATCATATAATTTCACTGAAGAAACAAACTGAAAGCATGTTTGTGCATGCTTAGGAAAGTGAAGTAGCATGGAAATCAAATCTTTATGCAAGAAAGAAAGCAGTTAATTTTCAGAAAGTTAGCAAGAAGGACAGGGTAGCATACATAAACAGTAGAACAATAAAAATCATAGAATTGCTGCAGAGATGTTCCTATTCCTTGTTTCCTTATTGGATGGAATGAGTAATGGTGTTATCAGAAAAAAAGGCTTAAGTGCAGGTTTGAATTTATAGAGAGAAGGTGTTAGCTAGGTGTGTCAAGTCTCAAGAACTGTGACAAATACAGCCAGTTATTCTTCCGGCACATATACAGCCCACTTCTGTTTATACAGAGAGTGATTTTTGCTCTTGGAGCCTAAGTGATAATTGTAACTGAACTGTCCTCTATTTTTAAAAAAATGTAGATGACATACTTTTCAGCATATTAGCTTAGCATAATGGTATGAAGAGGCCCTTCAGCTGTCTTTAAGAATATGTATGTGACCAAAGATTAACCTAACGATCCTGTCCAGAATGATATGGTTATGCAGTGGTTTAGAAGTGGTGCTTCAAAATGCATGGGAGCGTAAACAAAATACATGGGAGCGCAAACTCTAAAAAAGTTCCTTTTTCTTTTTGCAGGCTTCCACACGAACCTAAAAAAATACATGGTTGCTTTAATGAGTCACATTAAAGGGACAAATCCTTTAATGAATTGACTCATTTGAAGCAGTTGCATCTTTTATTAGGTTCGATTGGAAGCCTTCGTAAATTGTAAATGTTATTTGTGGGATAGTTATGAAAACAAACTGCCTTGATTAAAAGTATATTACAAATATGCATGTTTGACTCAGGTCTTCCAAGTATGGTAAAATAAATGAAAGGATCCCTATATCGCTAGTGAAAGATGAACAGTAGGTCATGAAAGAATGAAATAAGTAGCTTGTGTCTTTTCTGTATTAGTGTCCCAAATAAAAGCAACCTTCTGTACATCAAATGCATCAGCATGAAGCCTCTGGGCAAAGTTTGTTAAAAAGTATGAGGAAATACACAGTACTTCACCATAATCTGCTATAATTTTGCATGGTAAGGAAAGAGATAAACATATATGGATGGATTGTTGCACCTAAAGATGAATGATAGATAGACAACATTGTTCTTTGGGAATCATTTGAGTCCTAATCCTAGAATTGTTTGAGTGTGATCCAGAGCCTAGCCTTGAGGTTTTTGTACTCTTCATGTGTCCCAATTTTCTTTAATTAAGCCTTTGTTTGCTTGGGATTGGCTGTCATCTAAGTGTTGTTAGCGACTGTTGTTAATTTGCGCTGACATTTTTCTTCCCTTGTGGCTAGGTGGCCAATTTCATTAATGCCAAAGTATAAGGCTGTTATCCACAAGGCCATGAGTGGAATTCATCCGACAAGTCTAAAGTTTTCATTGTGTCAAGAGGCTTTATGCAGCATTCTTTTCACCCCGGTTTTTGCGTGTATCCCAAGTCTGACTAGAGGCAAATGTGGAAATCACAGTTGTAAATATGAAAACATCTGATTCTAACATTGCTCCATACTTTTTAAGTATAATGCTCCAAGTAAATGTCATTCACAAGTGCAAATTCATGGACTTGCAGTAGTTTTGTAATGAATGGTTAACATAATGAAAACACTACCGCTAATATGTACATCTATCCCTGAAAGGTTATAAAGGGGAAACATAATATTGCAAGTCCTGGCTAGCGTGCCCTATTCTGCCCAGAATGGAAGATAATTCACTGCTTTGTTTTTAAAGAAGACACACGTGTGGGGTTATTTCTAAGGATCTTATTAAATGTATATGGATGTAACCTGATAATAAAACGGGGGACGATAAATTTGAACAAGCCCCTTGCCCCCGGCTCTCCCTCTCCAAAATCTAATTAGGAGAATAGGTGGACTTTCCAAACAGTGTGGAATATAGCAAAGGAGGCTTGAGGTTGAAAAAAAAGAATTTCAGATGGAAGTACATGTGGGTTAGAGCCAGACCCAGTTTTAAACCAAACAATGAACCATATTAAACATAATAATTTCTCTTATGGATTCCAGTGGGTCTTCTCTAAGCATTATGAAAAATGCTTTGAGCTGGAGCATATGAAAAAGACAATAATGTGTGATTTCAAATGCAGATTGAATTAGTTTATTTCTTTCATATAATTGGCCTTCTTTGAATTAATTTTCATACTTTACATGTCTGCTTTCTGTTAAACTGATTTATTCATGACATTCTTTTCTTTTGTGTTTGAGATATTCTGTTTATTCAAGTATTTTCAGTGAGATAAAATTAAGTTTTAATGAAGCTTCTGCTTCATTATTTTTTTTAAAAAGGATTTTTTTAAAAAACAGGGGACTGTGTAGTCCATTGGGTATTTTAGAGTGTTAGGGGAAATAAGTCTCTACCAAAATGTCATTAGTTGAAGAGCCCAGTGGAATCTATGAATTCAATAAAATTTCAAAAAAAACTAAGTTTACAAGTGGTGCTTTATTTACTAGTAATGCTGATTTGTCTGTTTTGACATTTATTATAAATCTCAAATAACTCAGATAATTTCCACATTATGTAAATAGCCCTCCTCCTAAACTTTTTTTTTTTTTTGTATTTTTCTTTCTTAGTTGTATTAAGATGAAAATTTAATGCCAGGGCAGAGTGTCAATTGGAATTAAGAAACATTGAATCTTATCACAGAGTTCTTATTGCTGTCATTATGGGTGTTTCCCTGGTTTCAATTTAAGAGTTCTGATGCATATTGACAAGAATATACTTTACTGTGAGTGACTTCAACAGAATGAAGAATGGCTCTATTTGCTAGGATTTGTTTTTTCTTTATTAGTTAATAAAACAAGAAAGAGAAAAAATTAACAAATAACAAAAAGAAAAAGAAAAAATGCAGTTATAACAAAAATGGATAAATGGTATATATACGGGTTCTCCCCCACATGTAAATGTGTGTGTGTGTGAGAGAGAGAGAAAGAATTTTAACAGCAATTTCAATAAAATATAATATTGAATTGTAATTGTCCTTGCATAAATTATGTCTATTGTTCATAGGATGCAATTTATTCATAGATGCAAGTAACATTAGATCTTCACTGGGTAATTGGACCCATACATTTGTCTTTCCAATGTTGAAGAATTAATCTTTTAGCAATAATAAGGACATGGGGAATCCATTTCTGTTGTCTGACTATATGTAGTAAGTTAGTCCAGCTATCAGTTTACATGTAGTTCAAAAGAATGTGTGCTTCTAAAAATATTAAACATTGCTTCAAAGTCAAACTAATGTATACAGTTACTTCTCCCAGGAGCATAGTAACTTTAGGACACTGCAAAAATGTAAGTTTTGATGAAAAATTATTCTGGTTGCATCTCCAACCAGAATATGATTTGTTCATTGCTTTTCTGTACAAATATCATGTGTCCAATAAGTCTGAAATATTATTTCTTGTCATTTAAATTCTAATATTACTTTTGGTATTTAGGATAAAGCATTTTTCCATTGTTTAGACAAAATGGAGGTCTTCACTTCATTATTCCATTCAGTCTTTAAAGATTGCGTATCACTTTTTTTTTATTGATATTAAGTTGGTGATAACAGGTATTTATTGTGGTCTATTATGATCCTACCTATTTTGATCCCATCTATAACTTAGGCATCTCTGAGGCTGAAAACACTGCTGATACAAATGAAATATTGTATCATTGTATCATTGAAATACTGATGCTGATACATCAGTAAATATTGCAATGGTAAATGCTATCAGTGGGTGGAAACTGACAAATTTTATTTATTAACTTAGGAAATGATAAAAACACATTATATCATTCTTTAGTGATATAATGTGAAGATTCTAGCATCCATCCAGATATTCCATAATTTTTTAAATCAAGTATAAAATCTGGATTACAAATACTGTCAATTTAGCATGAGAAAGATGATGAAACCACAATTTTCCAGAAATAATACACCACAAGTTTTGAACTAATTTGATATAGCAAATCTGTTATACTGTATGTTGATCTCCAAGCAGTCCAATTAAGGTGTCATACAGAAATATTTCAAAACAGCTCAGGATGTAGAATTTACACTAAGTGAAGGTGTCCAGCATTTGATATTAGCTAAAATATATGTAATATATCTTTTATATTACAAAGTAATATAATTCAAGACTCAGAAAACTGAAACTCCCATCTTAAATGACAGTTGCATCTCTTTCAAAGATATTTTCAAAATTAAAGAACCCTATAGAAATGTATGAAACAGAATACTGATTTTTTGAAAAATGTTTTTGGATATCTATATAGGAATTCCATGCAGAATACATTCCTTTTTGAGAGTGTTTATCCTACTGCAAAGGATAGGGGTAGGATTTTAAAGATATTTTTAAGATATAAAAATCTCTGTTTATATCTCAGTGTAATTATTTGAGAAATATTACTTGTAGTAAGAATGCCTAAATAGTGGATAAATATGATAATCATTTAATGTATGAATAAACAAATCTTTACCTTTAGGCATCAGTTCCAGTTTATACCAGTTAACAGACTCTGTGACCTGAGGTGTTTATCAGATTCATCAAAGCCAGAAAAAAAGAGTTTCAGAGGTAAACAATAAAATATCATCATCATATAATACTGCTTTATATTCTAATGGATTATGCAAAAACCCATGTTTATTTTCATCTTGTTTAATAACACAATATTATTCTAGACAAAGATCAAAGAAGAAAGTTTACAACTCTTAGTCTTACTCTTACTCTATAGTTCTGTTATAAAGTGTAACAGTAAGTTTAAAAAAAAACACAAAATCCTTCACTTCGGATTTAGAGAATCCAAACCCACTTTATAAATTCTGCAGGAAATCCACATTTGCTAAGGTAATATACATATATTGCCTGTAGATTTTATTGAAGGCTTTTTCTACAACCAGCAATAGAACTGCAGCTTTGTCTTTATTTTTATTCAAATCAATCAAATCTAGTACCATCCATGTCTAGTTTTGATAAAGCCCACTCAATCACTGAAAAAAATTACTCGTTGAATCCTGTTAGCTAAAACAGCAATTAAAATGTACATTAATAAATGAAGTAATGGCTCTGTTGCTAATTAACTAATTGCATTACTGCTCACAGTCTGCCAATGTAACTTTAGAATTTAGAAATACTAAAGCTGGCTAAAATGCTAATTTTTTATTAAATACGATTGTAACATATTATTTCAAGGGTGAAAGGTTAAATTATTTGGGAACGTATTATTAGCAAAACATACAGCTTCAGTCGTTTTAGCCATATTAGTTCTTATTTGCATGATGCTTTTTTCAGAATAATTAAAAATTTAACATTTGGGGTAGAAGTCACAAAATAATAATACTAACTGGTGATAGAAAATGGCAAGGTTACATGTGTTTTCTGGAATACTCATAATGTATTAGAATATAGGAAGAATTAAAATGTTTGGATTAAACTTTATATGTTGGATTGTTTTCTTTGCTATCATATTTAACCTAATATAACTGTGCTTTTTTAGACATTCTGCCTTATACGTCTTTGGAACCTAGATACCTGCATGCTCACTTTCGAGTGCAATCCAAGTACAATCAGAAGTTAATGGAAGAGATTCATTCATAAATTAATATTATTTAAACTATGAAATCAGAAATTTGTGAAGTTCAAACATCATATACTAACATAGCACATCCTAAACTTGCAGAACACAGGAGAAGTTACACTATATGTGATTTAATCCACCTTGTAACTGTAGGTCTATAGGAACTGCATCTAGGCCACTGATGTCCACTGTTTTCGGCAAGAGCTGTCCAAGTGCTCATGGAGTGATCTTTCATGTCATCTGCAAACTGGGGATCAGTGGGATTAAACTGAGGATCTTCTGCATACTAACAATTTTGGAACATATGTTTCATCTTAAATATTAAAACATGGGCCTAAATAGTAATATATTCCTATAGTGGTATTTGTCCACTTAGTGCTACATTATCTAGCACAATTAGTACCAGTTTGCCATCATTTCTGGAGAGTTCCTCTTTCTTTTAACTGGAAATACCAAGAATTGAATCTGGGGCTTGCTGCATGAAAAGCACCTGCTCTGACAGTAATAATATATCATAACCGATAGTGACTTTGGAACAGCAGTTTATTGCATGGAATCCAATGAAAAGACAAAACAGAATGTAGCAAATTATTAAAAAGCAGACGTAAAACAATATATCATATTATTAAACTAATTAAACCAAGGAAGCATCCATATTTTAAGGAATGATGGCCAAGTACCTGTCAGCTTAGCTTAGTAATTATGTGCTTTGTTGGCAATTATTCAGAAAAAAGGACTTTTTAAAGTTCTATTCCTGTTTGTAATGCTAGCGCCATCGTGTTAATGGTGCCGTATGCATGTATTTTTTTTTACAATCACCCTTGGTCATTGTAATTCCCAACAGAATTAGATTTTATACTGAACAAGAGGTAGGTTTATATTTGTATGTGAGATTGCACCCATAAAAATAGTTGCATCAGATAACAAACAGTATGTATGAAAATATACATGTTAAAAAAACTACTCAGTTGTATGTGTATTTGTATCATTCACAGCATTCAGTGAGAGCTTAATCAAAAGCAAAAGGTAAGAATGAAAGAAGCAGAGTCAATGCGCAGATTGCCCAGACAAAATTGGAATGCCTATGCATGAGCAGAATTTTGCAAAATCTAATTTTATATACCCAGGCAGAGAATCTGTGTGGGAGATAATACAGTTAAACATTTAGAAGCTGCAGAAATTCATATTCTCAGTCAGATGGTTTCCAATTTTGGCAACAGGATTAGCATTGCCAGTTTTTTTTTCCCCCCAAAGCCAAATATTCTCTGATATTTCACAAACCCAATAAATACACTTAAGTTGGTGGCAGTCCATTTTTAATTGTATTAGTCCTCAGAAGCTTTACCTAACAACTCTTTCCTATTCAGAGTTTCCACATTTGGAATATATACATTGGGTTGGTTTTCATAGTCACAGACCAGTATCATACTGTGATGGCCATATTTCAGATGCAATGATATGAGGCCAGGAGAGGTTTTTAGTCTGTTGGTTTGTTTGTTTAGTTCCCACTTTATTCAGTATGGTGGATATTACTTTAGACAACCCTCAGATGGCATCTGTGTGTCTCTTTAGTCCTTGTTCGTTTTGGATTGCATTTTTTTTCTTTTCTAATACTTATGATTTATTTAACTTCATGGAATCCTATGATTTATGCCTCCTTTTTTAAGAGAGGGCTTTCTGTGGGCATATCTCTACATTTTTTTGGCAGACCTTGACAGCCAACTGAAAGTGCTTTCAACTTGAAGAAAATGATTTTAGCTTGTAGAATTGTTTTGTCTCAAGTGACTCCCATCTTTTTTAAGGTAGGAGCGAAACTCTTTGAAATTAATGATATATTAGTAGCTATTCTTTAATGTTGAGTTGGATTATAGTTGCACTTCTGCTTGTGCTATGATTAACCCAATAGTTAAAGTTGTTGCTGGTAGCAGTTAAAGCAAGCAAACTTATTAAGTGTTGTGCTGTTTTCTAAAGAGAGCGAAATAATGTGTGTGATCAGCCCTTCAGTCAATGATCAGCATTATAAGAATAGGGTTATTCATAGCATCCCACTGTATGCATAAAAACAATAATTCATTGTAAAATCGGTTCTGCGCAGCTGCAGTGAAGATCTGTCAGATTATGACTGGGAAATTGCAGTAATGTACCCTTTGTAATAACTCTTAGTTGTACATATCTCATATTTTACATATTATATTTACTTTTATTCTTATATATGTTTATACTGTATCTAACAAAATGCTAGTCATTATAATATAAATTATTAAGATTGTATTTAATTTTGATTAAGGAGCTCATTTAATTTGTGATAGAAATGTATTTTAATACTAATTGGAACTTGTAACTTCAAACCTATGTTATTTTAGGTGGTTCATCACTTTTGAGACTCAGTGTGTATACTTTTATAGAATTGCCGCTTGTACTGAACATTGTGAAATGCTGTTTCTTTTTCTCTCTAAATCTGAGAAGGTCCCATAGCACATATTTTATTCTTGAATAGTCTATATATAAAACAGAGAAGATGAAACTGGTAACTGTGAAATAGGGTTAGTGCTCTTTTTCTTTTGAGTTAAAGTGCAAAATGTGGTATTTCATATGTACTGAACATAATGTTGAATTATATATAACTCTAGATAACTAAAATAAAAACTAAAACAGTTTTGTTTTAAACACTAAGTGAAATACTAGAATCCTAGCCACATAGTATTATTATATTGCATCATCATCAAAGAGAAAGTAAAGATGCATTAAACAAAGCACAGCATACCACTTGAAGCTACCCAATTATAATTAGGATTTCAGGCTAAATTGTAATGTTGCTAAATTTGGAATAAGGATATATTATGTCTTCTTTAGTTGCTGTTCATAGGAATAATATGAACATTAATTGCATTCTGTTATCCACAAATTCAGTACAACTTGTATGTACTGGTAGAGCTGCTAGATTTAAAAGACATCGTATAGATTTAAAATTTGTGCAGTTTAATCCAATGGTCCTCTTGTTACAGAATGCTACATCATATTTACTGGCTTTATACTGATGCAATATGGATTCAGTGCTATGCACTTTCTTGCAAAGTCAAAAACACAGGCATTCCCATAGAAAAAACAGGAGATATAGCAATACTGGAAAGGCTGGAGCATCCATTCCTATCCACTTGCCTTTATTGTACCCTCAGAGTTGTCCTTGTCAATGTTACTATTGGTCTTGTCAACAATGCTGTACAGTAGTTGCAAGTAGCTATGTAGCCAGCTATACCTAGGGATTACACACCCTCATTTCCAATGATCAGTAGCAGTCCTTTTGAAATAGTATTTGCCTATGATTGGACATTGCTTTTAAGAAATGAAAAAGAATATCTGTTCCCCACTCTACCGTGTTAAATGGTCACCTTCCTTCCCAAAGTACCGCTGCTTACTACTGGAGTGATGTGGCAATCATACTACTAAGGAGGTAAGTACATCTTGGGAGATAAATATGTCTGCAATTGGCAACCCCATATCATAGTCACACTTCAGCCTGATTCCATGGTGTTAATAGATAATTAGGATGATATTTATTTGCATCTTATATGGATTTACAATAGATCTCTTAGCCTGTTAATATATGCCCAATTTCTTGCTTTGGCTCTGATCTTCCAACATGCTTCCTGGCAATACTGATCAGTGAAATACACAATACTGTAGTGTCTTTGTATGCCAATTCAGCCATTTTCCTTACTGGGGTCATGGATAATGCTGGTAGATCATTAATATTTGAGAATTTCCCTTAATAAAAAATATAAATAGTCCATCTTTATCTTAGTGTTGATGATTGGCTGCAGAATTAATTAGAATCATACAGCATTATGAAATTTTAGACATGGTTGTATGTGTCTTTAAGTTCAGAAATAGTATGCTATTACATGCTGACTAATGAAAATATAATGCCAGGCTAATACCAGGAAAAGTTGTTGCCTTCAT